GTGGGAGCCAGAAGGCCCAGGAGCAGCCGCTCAGGGAGCTGAGCCCACCCTGCCAGGGCTGCTCACAGCACGGGCAGCGTCCAGGGCTGGCGCCAGGGCTGGCGCCAGGGCTGGCATCAAGGCACACAGGCTGGAATCGCTGGGTTCAGCCAGGACCCCCCATGTCTGTGCTGCAGTTTAGTTCCTACCTAGAGAATCAGACTTGCAACCCCTGAGGATTGGGACAAAGATTGATTCAATCTAATGACAAAATTAACATGAAGTGCACAACCCTGGTGGCCRCTGGAGGGAGAACTGCCTGTTCACAGCAGGCAGCTGGGACAAGTGCGCCGCAGGACAGAAGGGAGAGAAGCGGGACTCAGTGCCTGGAGTCAGGGAGGAGATCATCTGCTCCCTGCTAAATGCACCCTGCTGGGACTCTGGCCAGAGTGGGGGAATGGCAATGGTGGTCTCTGCCATGGCTGAAGGCTGCTCTGTGGGTCAGTGGAGGCTCAGCGCCTGACCCAACATGGTCTTTACCTGCAGCCAGCTGTACCCAAGCTGGCAAGCCTGAACAAGCCTGCAGCTGCTGGGAGCCCTGGGACACCTGCCCTGAGCTCCAAACCTGACCAAGGAGACTGAGGGCCCCGGCCATCGGCTTCATCAACCTACCTTTTTTCAAATACACAGCCASAGAATCTTGATTGCTGCTGCTCCTTACTTTCACTTGGCACCTGAGGCTTCCAATGCTGGCTTCCTTTGAGTTCCCCAAAGCATCCTGCTCCTAGAGATGGAGAGAGGCSGAGTGTCATCCCGTGGTACTTACCCATTCAATTCAAAACTCATTTATCCCACCCTAACTGTGGCCAAGCACCAGGGCCTCAGAGATAAATACACCTGGCCCTTAGTTTTCTTGGTCTATTAGAGCAGACAGACAGGTAATCAGGAAATTCCAGCTCAGAATGTAGCCACAAAGAGACAGGTAACTAGAGAAGACATAATAACAGAGGAGAGAATGATACATTGTATTAGAAGCAGGACAAGGAAAGTTTCCCAGAAGTSATCTGGGTGAGGTTCTGGTGTCTGAGTAGGAGCTGGCCGAGGGAAAACGAGGGGAATTTGAAGCAGAATAAATGGCAGACATGGAGACCTGGAATTCCACAGGTGTTTTGAGAACTAGTCCAGTGAAGGGTAGTGATGAGAGGGTTACAGAGGCAGGAGCCAGTTCAGGGGAGGCCTTCAGGCACACAGCTTCTAACCAGGGAAGAAAAGGTGTGGCAGTATCCCGGGAAAGTTTTGAAAGCTTGGAAATGCTAAGGTCGGGTTTCAGAGGTCTGGCCATTCTTGGTTGTCTCCGATCTCTCTTCTGGCCTGTTCTGAGCAGTTCTGCCATGTGGGTGGTGTGGGGGTGTGGGTGCAGTGGGATAAATTTGACTACATCCATTTGTGCTTTATTATCAGTGTTTCCCCTCCCCCTCCCTGCTGCCAGGCTCTGAGTTCCCTGTGGGAACTGTTGGTCCTGGGCTAAGGTGCAGGGACMCATTGGCAACAGCTCTCCTTGCTCTTCAGTAAGCCTCGTGTCACCTAGGGGATAATAGCCAGGGCGGACAGGAGGGGCCTTGGAGAACACAGAGGGAAGGATTGCCACAGGCCTGAGAGGCACTTAAGTGGAGGAACCCAGAGGAGTAGGAGTCCTTCCCTGGTAGTAGCAGAGGCCATGCCTTAGTGGGGCAGGGGACAGCAAGATGCTCCAGGGAGAACAAACCCCATATACYGGGGCTCCTGCCTTGGCAGAGGCCCCTCCACACCCCAAGCCTGAACTAGAAGTGGCAGAGCCTGAGATTTAAGGCAGCTCCCAGGATTGTGGGCTTCCACATTCAGGGTGGACTAATCAGCCATGGCCAACATCCAAGCCCCCACATGCCTTAGGAGCACATGAGGAAACAGGGCCCTGCAGAGGAGCCTCATTAAGGTCAGCATGAACTTCCTGCTGACCTGATAGGGGCAATAACATTAACAGCAATGGTGACAATCACAATAATGGTCCCCAAGTGCTTCCTCTGCAGCAGAAACCTTCCACSTKMSACCT